CAACTCTGACACGATTCTTCTAAGATGAATCCCGCTTCTTTGAATACTTCCATTATGTAAATTTATTCATATAAAATACATGAAATTGTTTGAATACTATTTGTGTAAATTTTCACGAACTTATACTTCAAACGCATAACTCATTTTATTAGTGTTTCGAAAAGTGGAAATGATTATCCTTGCGGCTCTTTTTATTGTATCCTTACACCAGATAATCAATCCAAAAAAAAGGGAATAAATGACTCATGAGATTAAACGACATACCCTTGTACTGTCTTTAATCATAATCCTACGTACGTCCAAAAGATGACATATATGTATGTTGTTTTTTTGGTATTCTCTTATTATATACATGGTATACTAGATGGACTGACTGAATTGATTGACCGGTTAAAACAGATAAAGTTTTATGGTGGACAAAACTAAGTCGGGTTGGTGTACCTATGGGTGCTTATAGGTTGAGTTGATTGGGTTGAAGACATTTGGACAACCCAACCCAATGTTTGCGGTTTGAAAAATCTCAACCCAACCCAAATCAACCCAACCCAAACCGTACGGGTTGGTCGGGTTGATACTTTGGTATATTAAAATATTATTCTAACCTTGAATATGTTATTTCTTTACTCATAATTTTATTTTCATCACCAACCATTTTGATACAACTTATCCATACTTCTTACATATATCATATTCAGTTAATTTTCTCAATTTACATATATATGAAGAGCATATGTGATAGTGTAATTGTCTAATTATAGATTAATAAAAATTCAACAGTCATATTAAATCCAATAAATAAAAAGATATTGGGTTGGGTTAGGTTAAGTTTAAATAATAGTAACCCAATATCAACCTAATACCTACTGTTCGAAAATTTTACAAATCGATTAGACATCGGATTGCTTCGAGTTGAATTATTTCACGTTGGGTTGATTAGGTTTTTGAGCACCCCTAGGTATACCAACAACTTTTGTCAATTATTTTTTATTAACGTAAATAAATTAACATATTAAATATATCCTTATAGTATGGTTATTTCTAATAAAATAATATAGATTTGAGTGTAATCCGGACAAGTTTTAAACCACCTAACCCGTTTGTTTGTTTTTACTTTTATTTGTTTGATCGTTAATCACTAAAATACAAATTATTTTCACGTGTTCAGATTGAATTATTTCTTATATTCTTATTCCATTAAAAGAATGCAATACCTTTTTCAAAAGAACCATCCGAAAAACATATGTTTTAGGGCAACAGTGCTTCCACATTAAGAACGAACTCCTGATATGGATCTCAAGTTGCAATGCAAATACGCCCAAGAAGAAATAAAACCTTTTGAACGATGGGCTAACCGTTGGAAGAATAAAAGTTGGATACCAGAACACAAATCCAGCCGTGGAGGAGCCGGATTAATGACACCATTTGATTCCGGGAAGTCCAAATCACGTACATAAAGATCCATATGACCACCTGCCAAATCACGCTCAAGCTCCACCAACCGAAGACCTTAATCCACGCATCAGAAACATCATTGCAACGGATTTAACTGTATATCTTAACAAACATCATATTCTTTTCTTAAAAATGCTCCAAAAAGTTTTGAAAAAACCAAGTGTGCTCTATCAAATATTAATAGTTAACCTTCTAATTTGAAGTACTTATAAGGGGTTGTTCACCACAAGTTTATCAGATGTATGTGCCTTAGCGTATGGGCATGACAAAGACCAAAAACAATACCTAGTAAGAGGCATAAAAATGATCGATAATCTTACCTGGTAAGCTAGAAAAAAGACACTTACCCACTAATCACTTACTGAATAAAAATGCTTACCAACAACTCATTTTGATGACCGAGAATGTTACCTGGTCATAAGGTAAGTAAAGGTGGTGAACATTGCGGTAAATGTTAGGCATGAGAATCGGACGGGGACCCGATCTCGTCCCCGCTAGGAAATATGACCACATTCCCACACCAACAGGGAATTGGAGATTTTTTTTCCTGTTTATTTGAGATATTTTACATCAAATATGTTAAACATCACACTTTATACAAAATGGTCCATGTTCAAATCTCACATATTTCCAAAATTTTGCTTTTATGGAGTATCAAACATTTATATCTAAGCAAAATTACGACATCATATGTAATTGTTTGATCAGACGCTTTCTACTTTCCATGTTCTTTTATCTGACATGGGTAAGACAAGTCAGCAAAATATATATAAGAAGAAAAGTCAAAATACTGTATCAAGGTCTAAAATATTTCAAATCTAGTTCTTGATAAATAATATATATAATAATAAACATACAATATGTTCAGATATATAATGTATCTAACATACGGGGACGAGGCAGGTTGAAAATCTCGTTACTCGGCCCCGTCTCTATCCCCAATTTTAAACTTTTAGGACTCCTTATCCCCATCCTTGTCCATGGTTTTGTGGGGAATCCCCAGTCCGGATGGGTAAACCGGTCCATTCTCATACCTAATAAACGTTTATTCGGTAAGTGTTTGATAAACGACCCGTAAACAAAGTATTGTTATTTTTTTAAATCAAATTTCCAGAGAATTATTTGAAGAAAACATTTCATTCGTTTCATAATATATGTCTCCAGTAAAAAGAACACACTGTTTTAAAAATGTGTAATTATTTCAATTAACTAAATAGCATTTTTAAATAATGGTATTTTTCAATCTATTAATTAAAGTATATTAAAAATAAGCATTAATTTAAGAGTATATTGTTTATCTATACTATATTATAAAGCATTTGACAAAAACTCTTAAAAACTATTTTTTATGTATAAGGTACTGTTTATTGATGCATATTATTTAAAATTCAAGATTACAAGTAAATTGTGTATAAATACAACTTATTAAAGCTCTGTGTTTGAATTCGTATAACTAACTAGGGATAAACATAATCAAATAGAAGATAAAATCTCATTTTAAAATATAAAAAATATAAAATATAATTAGGATAATTATTGAGTTCTAACATAATACTTAATTATTATCTTTATAAAAAATATATCATTAAACTTAAATTAAATTGGTTCTTTATGTTAAATTAAATTATAATAAAAATTTTGAATTAAAAAAAATACACAAACAAGAACTTTTAATAGTTAATTTGATACTAATATTGATATATTTTTTGCAAATTTTATATGATATTTTTAAATTTATATTTTATTTAAAAGAAGAAACATTATCTCTTTTTCAAAACCACATAAAATCGTATTATATCGACATGAATAAAAAAATAAAAGCGAAATATTGAAATAGAAATGTGTCTCGATGCATTACACGAGTACCCTTCTAGTATTCTTAGAAACATATGAAATATTGAAAAAGCAAAAAATAAAAAAAATAAAAAATGGAGGCATATGCAAGGACCAAGCTTGACCTCCCATTGTTTATCTTGTTTCCCGACCAATCATGCAATCGAGTTTTCTAGAAATTAAATGACCGCGACACCTCATGGAACCACATAATCCCATTTTCAATTTTATCACCTTTTAACTAAAATATATAATTATAAAAAAGAATTTAATATACAAAAATAACAGAAAATATTAAGTAAAACTGTATTTAAAATACATATATCTATACTATATTATAAAACATTTGATAAAAACTATTGAAAACCATTTTTTATGTTTGAATTACTGTTTATTAATGCATATTACTTAAAATTCAAGGTTACAAACAAACTGTGTGTAAATACAACTTATTAAAACTTCATATTTGAATTCGTGTAACTAACTGCAGATAATCATAGTCAAATACAAAATAAACATTTTATTTTAATTATAAAAAGTCTAAAATATAATTAGGATAATTATTGAGTTCTAACAGAATACTTAATTATTATGCTTATAAAAAATTATATATTATTAAATCAAAAATAAATTACTTCGTTATTAAATCTAAATTAAATTATAAAAAAATTTGAATTAAAGAAATTACACGAAAAACAAAAACTTTTAAATAGTTAATTTGATTATTGATATATTTATTTTCAAAATTTTTTGATATCTTAAAATTTATATTTTATTCAAAAAGAAAAACGTTATCCATTTCTCAAAACCACATAATAACCGTATTAAAACATCATAGAGACGGAATAAAACGAAACATTAAAGTTGATATATATCTCGTTATATTGTGCGAGTACCCTTCTAGTCTTCAATTAATTATTAACTCACTTTTATTAAGAAAAAATATATACTTTTAAGGTAACATTTAAAAATCTATAATTTACAAAAAGGTTTTATATATTTTTCCAAAAAGGGTAGTATCTGAATTTTTTACAAGACCTCTTAATATATATAAATCATTAAATATACATTTTAATATATATAAATCATTAAATATACATTTTTTTAATTATAAATCCTTAAACATTACTTTAAACATTTCTTTAAAATAAACTAAATTTGTTGAGACATATATCACCCAAAATGTTACCCAAGGGTTTTTAACTAATTTTTTTTAGGTAGCAGTAGATATCTGGGTCTGTTTACGTTACACTGACTGATCTAAAGATGACCATGGTTCTATAAATGAACTGAAATTATCGCAGGCGAAGTTTCATGACTATAAGGATTTTGACAGCTCCTGAATTCAAACCCATGTAAAAAAAAAACTATTGGACTGTCTTAAAAACACAATTTATTTTTGGAATTATAACCATTAAAATAATCATTCAATAAGAACCAAAAACAAAAAGAAAACGATGGGAAGAGTCTCTGATCGTCACATACTCCCATATATGGCCTTCCATATAACTTTGATTTATCGTTATCTATCCAAATAAAATTTCACTCTTGTGTGGCCATTATGCACATATTATCATGAACCACCATCATCCACCGGCCACAATTAATTCCACCACCACTTCTAAGATGGATTCATTTCTCACCCTTGGATCAAAATCCATTTCCTACTTCCACCACTATATATACCTACAAAACCAATCCAAAATACCAAACAAACTCATTTCAACAACACCACTACTAACATGGCCACATTCTCCTCCTCCTCCGTCGCCACCATGACCGGAGCTGTCCCAGCCCAAGCCACCATGGTGGCTCCATTCACCGGCCTCAAGTCCACCGTCGCCTTTCCCACCACCAAAAAGGCCAAAACCGACTTCTCCACCCTTCCTAGCAATGGCGGAAGAGTTCAGTGCATGAAAGTATGGCCACCATTGGGATTGAAGAAATACGAGACCCTTTCGTACCTTCCCCCACTGTCCGAAGCCTCGTTGGCTAAGGAAGTCGACTACCTTCTCCGGAACAAGTGGGTCCCCTGTTTGGAGTTTGAGTTGGAGCATGGCTTTGTGTACCGTGAGAACCACAAGTCACCAGGGTATTACGATGGAAGATACTGGACAATGTGGAAGTTGCCGATGTTTGGGTGCACTGACTCGGCCCAGGTGTTGAAGGAGCTCGAAGAATGCAAGAAGGAGTACCCTGGCGCATTTATTCGGATTATCGGATTCGATAACGTCCGTCAAGTCCAATGCATCAGTTTCATTGCATACAAGCCAAAAGGGTACTAATTAAGCAACAAACGAATAGTACCTTTTGGTTTTTGACCACTTTATTAGCATTTCAATTACTTTTGAAATATTGTCGTGTTAATTCTGTTTCATAATAAATGACATACATTAAACCAACATATCGTGTTTTAAGTACTCGTCTAAGTTTGAACAGAACTATATATATTCTACCCAAAAGTTTTCTTTCAGTTCAAAACGATTAATATGTAGAACCAGAACAAGTAATTGCTGAGTGAAATCTATAGAGATCAGAAAGAACGTCAACGATGAAAGCATTCTCCTGGACCAACTTTGACACTGATAGACAAAAGCTACGGGTGTTGATGACATTGATATGTAGAATGAGACTCTATCTTTATCTTGTGACACGATCATCATTTATAGGCTATGATGACGAACTAACTGATAAATATGTGGTAAAAGTACTTGTTAAGCTAGATAAGGACATATTGAAAAATTAACTGAAAAAATATAATGGGTTGTTTCAAACAATTAGCTTATAAACTGTTTTATGTTTAACAAAACAGAACTTTTGTCTGCCAAACATGTCCTTATAAGTTAAATTATGGCTGCCAAACATGACTTAAATTAATCTTGAAAAAAGACTTGCGAGTTCTTAAGACTAAGGGGTCGTTTACCAAAAACTTACGCGGTAAGTGTTTATCGGAAAAATTCAACACTATTATTTACTTATTGGGTAGGATTTTAGTCCACTGAAATGGTACCGTATGCAACAATTTACACGATAAGCTCTTATCGTGGTAAGAGTCGTTGCATTCACTTAGCGGGTAAGACTCTTGGTCCTTGTCTCGCTCTTACCGGGTTTGTTTCTTGGTCTTTGCCATATTCATCCGGTATGACTTGGTAAACGGCCCCTAAATCAATAAACAAGTGAAAAGTATCAATGATAGAAGAAAAATGATTATAATTTTTCTCTCAAAACTTTCTTCCCAAACGTGGAAGGAAAGGGATACAGATGAAATGAAAGAAATTAAAACCATTTAAAAATATTATTAAAAATTACAAAACTACTCGACATTTTATTAGAAAATATATATTTGTAAAAATATCATATTTTCTTTAAAAAAAAACTGTTTTTGAACAAATATGTTTTATGGGCCTTTGGACATAATTTGTCATAGGCCCAATCCCAAATATAATTTATAAATTATATTTAATTTCAAAATCCACAATTTAAAGTAATTTATAACTTCAAAATCCAGTTTCAACTCACAAGTACGTATTGTATAATAGAATAACTTACATGATTGGTCACTGTGAATCACACGGTTTCAGCCGTAATACAAAATAATTATAGAAAATGTTCCTCTAGATTATATTTTTATACGTTTTTAATAACTATACCGTAACTCTGTTAATATATTCCTGTTAAATAAGTTTATTAGGAGGGTAATTTGGTCATTTCATAATTTCTTTATTTTCTATTTAAAATAGACAAAGATTGTCATCTATTTAATGGCATGGCTCACCTCTTTCTTTCTATCATCTCTGTTGATAATATATACACACAAACATATGTATTTGTACACACAACATATATACTCACATATACATATTACATAACATCCCCCCTCCC